GGCGGGCGGCGATGCGCGGCGGGCGGGCGGCGGCGGGACCGGCCGCCCCCCCGGGCCCGCGGTGACGGCGGCTCGGCCGCGGCCATGGGGTGCCTGCAGAGCGTGGCCTGCAAGGCGCGGGTGCGCCGCGAGCAGATCGTGGTGTCGGACGTGTCGGCCACCATCGAGCCGGCGGCCACGGCCATCGAGGAGAGCTCGCCGGTGGTGCTGCGGTACCGCACGCCCTACTTCCGCGCCTCCGCCCGCGTCCTCATGCCGCCCATCGCCCGGCGGCACACCTGGGTGGTGGGCTGGATCCAGGCCTGCAACCACATGGAGTTCTACAACACCTACAGCGACCTCGGCGTGTGAGCACCGCGGGCGGGCACGGGGGGACGGCTGTGGGGGCACGGGGCTCCGGGCGGGCCCGGGCTGGGAACGGCGGGGGCTGCCCGGTGCGGGCACCTGCCCTGCTCCGCCCGCAGGCACCGGGAGCTGTGACCCCGGTACTGGGAGCTGTAACCCCGGCATTGGGTGCTGCTGTAACCCCGACACTGGGAGGTGTAACCCCGATATTGGGTGCTGCTGTAACCCCGACACTGGGAGCTGTAACCCCGGTATTGGGTGCTGTAACCCCGGCATTGGGTGCTGCTGTAACCCCGGCATTGGGAGCTGCTGTAACCCCGGCCTTGGGTGCTGCATCTCTGGCACCCTGTGCCGCACCCCCAGCACTCTGTGCTCTCTACCCCACCTCTGCAGCCACAGCCACGCACGGACAGCACCTTCACCCCAGTCACTGCTCCCCAACCCTACAATTCCTGCCTCTTGCACCCCACAGCAGCTTCTGCACCATCCTACTGGTCTGGACCTTGCCCTTCCGAGGGCTTTGCAGCCGCTGTGTCCCACCAAGCATCGTTTCTTCTTTGGGGCTGGGACACGGGCACAGGCGGTGCTGGGGGAGTTGCCCCCTTGGCTTGTGTTAGAAGAGGGAAAAGTGGCGGTGCTGGGCAGAAGTGGCAGCTGGAAAACAGCCTTTCCCCAGGCTGAGTGTGTGGGTGACTTGTGGGGATGCTGAGGGGCAAAGCTGTTGGTTCTGTGTCTGTGTCTTCTGCCCTTGGAAAGGGGTGGTGAAAAGAGGAGAGATGCCCAGAGGGGTCTGCTCCAGCTCACTGGTGGGCTCCTGCTGCTGGTGCCACAGGTCTGTGGGTGCTGGGGGAGCAGCAGGTCCTTGTGCTGCCTGCCTGCAGCCTTCTATCATGACAGATTGGTCTTTGGGGCACTTGGAGCACTTGGGGACGTTGGAGTGAGTGGAGGTCATCGTTTGCAGTGGTGGCAGGAGTGTGGCCCCAGCCCCTCTGCTGCAAAGCTGCTCCCTTGTTATTGTCCTGCAGGCCTTGCTGTAGCCACACGGTGCTGGTGGCATGGCCAGCAGCAAAGATTTGGGCTGAATTCCCCCCTCATCAGCCATGTTGCAGGGATTTCATCATGCCAGTGGCAGGCATTGTTGTGGGATTTAATGTGTCTCTGTGTTTAAGGCATAAAAATCACAGACCTCCTGCAGGAGGGGGCTGCTGATGTCTGGGCCAGTGCCCTGGTCACGGTGCTACAGGGAAGGCTGTCCTCCAGCACAGGAGCTGATTAAGGAGATAGTAACCCCAAAGAGACTCAGCAGTGGGTTTTGGCCCAGTCAGTTTAATTGCAAGTTAATTAACATGGCATTGTGCTGGCAGAGCAAAGGCTTGAGCTGGACGTGTGAGTTTCAGTAAAGGAGCTGAAGCTGAATTTGTTCTTCAGGTTGTCCCTGAGAGTTTTCTGCAGGCAGGCAGAGGGTCCCCGTGCTGCTGGCTTCCCCATCCCTCGCCAGGCACTCTTGCTGCCATTTCCCCTCTCATCTTCCTCTTCCTCTTCACTAGGTCAAGCTGGGAGCTGCCCGACCTGCGAGAAGGACGAGTAAAAGCCATCAGCGATTCGGATGGGGTGAGCTACCCCTGGTATGGAAACACCACAGAAACCGTCACCCTGGTCGGGCCCACCAACAAGATCTCCAGGTTCTCGGTGAGCATGAACGACAATTTCTACCCCAGCGTGACGTGGGCCGTCCCCGTGAGCAACAGCAACGTGCCCCTGCTGACCAGGATTAAAAGGGACCAGAGCTTTACCACGTGGCTCGTGGCCATGAACACGACCACCAAGGAGAAGATCATCTTGCAGACTATAAAGTGGAGGATGCGAGTGGACATTGAGGTGGACCCCATGCAGCTGCTGGGGCAGCGGGCGCGGCTGGTGGGCAGGACTCAGCAGGAGCAGCCGCGGATCCTCAGCAGGATGGAGCCCATCCCACCAAACGCACTAGTGAAGCCCAACGCCAACGACGCCCAGGTCCTCATGTGGAGACCCAAGCGAGGGCAGCCCATAGTGGTGATACCCCCCAAGTAGGGCGTGCAGGTGAGGACCTGGGTGCCCCCAGCCCGCTGCAGACGAACAGGGTTTGCGAGCCAAAGCAGATCTCTCGGCTTCTCCTGCCTTTGTTGTTGTGGTTGCAAACGTGGCTCCTCCTCGGTCAGAAATAGAGCCTGGCTGGCACGAGGGCACAGAAGAAGGTTTGCTGCGCTGGAGGATTTCCCAGGAAGCAGAATCGAGTACTTGCAGCTGGCACAGAGGCTGTCTGACATAAAGGACTCGTCTTTCCTTGCGGGGCAGCGCGAGGAGCACGAGTGTGGTTGAACCGTGCCTGTGGCAAACGCTGCTTCCCACCCAGCCGGAGGGAGAAGCGGAGGCTGTGCCTGCTGTTCCCTTCCATGTCCATACCTATGCATTTCAGATGGATGATCCACCCCTCGCCTGCCCGCTGGCACCGGGCGGGAGCGGGCAGAGCAGAGCCCGGTGCCACCGCCCGGGAGGGGTTTTCCGCAGCCCGGGGGGAGCGGGACACGTTTTGCATGCGTCTGGGTGTGTTTGGAGTAGTTGTGAGTGTAGGAGATGCCATAGCTCTTTTCTGTCTTGGAGTGAGGTCTAAGGGCAGGTTAGATGTCCTTTGGTTTAAGGTGCACTAAGTCTTTGCAGTTCCTCAGCCTCCCCCTCCCAAGTCACGCTGACCCTTCTCTCACGGAAGCAGAACCGCGTCTCAGCCGAGTGAGGAATCGGGAGCGGTGCCGTTCTCCCAGCCCAGGTGCTCTGGGTGTGTGTGGTACCCAAACCAGCTCAGAGGTACCCCTGGACTCGCTTTGCTTCACCGCAGACCCCGCTCCCTCGCTAGAGGTTGGGTGCTCGCTCATTTTCCACGCAAATGCTGGCTCACACGGAGACCTCTTCCCCAGCCACCCACGGAGCAGGGTGGCTACTGGCTGGGCCACCAGTGCAGGGGACAGCACTCCTTGTGGTAACTCCCCAAGCTCTGTGGAAGGCAGGGATGTGAGTGGAAGCTGTTCAGAGCAGGAGGAGGTGGATGTGCTGCCTGGGGGCTGTCTCCTGCTGCTGCCATGCTTGGGAGGGGCTACAGGGGGATTTATTTGCCTTTCTCCTCACTCATTACTGCCTGGGTGGCTGGCATCGGCCGGTCCACGGGGCTGCACAGTGCTGTGGGATGCAGCTGGCAGTTCCCAGGATCTCACCCTGGAGCTGCAGCAGAGGCATAAACCATGGCTGTGCTGCTGCTGCTCTAGGTGCTTCATCGCTCCTGAGCAGGTGGTTTACAGCTGTTGCTGCTTTCTTTGCTCTGTCCTCCCCAGCACGAGCCCTGCAGCTCCTCCAGCTCGCAGCCCTGCCTTCTCCACACTGCAGGGGGATTGTGCCGCCCTGGGGATGCCGGTCATTCCTGCTGGGAAGGTCCCATGTCCCCCTGGCTCCTGGGGAGGAGCGCTGGGTGACACTTCGTGCACCCCGGGCCCCGCCTGCACAGGGGCTCCCGAGGCATCTTAGACCAAAAATCCCTGTGAAATCCCCGTGCTATTTATTGCCCTCAGTAGTGTTTGCTGCTGATCCAGTTCTTTATTTTTCATCTGGGAGCGTTTCCTTTTGTCGCCTTGGTGCAGCATTTCCCTGTGCCGGGGCCAGTGCTCCTGCTCCTCCCTCCCGGCCCCACACTGGGCTGGGAACCTGCTGCTTTCTGTGCCTATGTCGGGGTTTTGCAGGGGCTACAGCCTTGCTGTGGGGCAGGTTTGGAGGGAGAGAGGGTTTTGAGCTTTGGTTTGCTGTGTTTTCTGCAGCAGAGCTCCCACAGGGAGCTTTCTGGTGTGAGAAGATGTCCTGCTCTTGTGAGCCTGTGGTTTTGTCCTGGTGTGGGAGCGATGGCGGCTTTTGCCATCGCTGATGTTTTGTTTCTCAAAAAGTGTGTGTGGAGAGGGGTTAGAAACTTGAATTACAATTTTCCTTAAGGACTGGGGGAGGAGGGGTAAGTACCTTTTGGTTTGAAGTAAGGCAGGTATATACTTTTGATCCGGGGAGGGGACAGAAACATCTCTGGCAGCATCAGAGCTAAAAACGCCAGAGGAAGGGGTTCCCCAACAAACAGGTAGCTCCGAGGTGGGCTTCCTGCTGGGAGAGGATGCTGTGTCCAGAGGCTGTGTGAGCCAGCTCCCCAAAACCCATGGGAAATGGCTGCATGCTGCTGTCAGCCCAGGGAGCTGCTGTGGCTCCAGTTGTCTGGGACAGTGGGGACACCGCTGCAGGGATGCTGTTGAATTCACTGCCGCCTTTTGGGACTTGCTGGCCAGTCTGAGCCTTGGCACGTGGCTACTGAGCCAGCAGCAGCTGAATTTCTGTCCATGAATGTCTGCAACATCCTGGTGCCAGGGTCAGGCTCCGTGCCTGGCTGTAGCTGTGTGCCTGACCCCCGAGGGCTGCCCCAGCCTGCAGGCAGGTGTTGGCTGAGCCCCGGGGCTATGCCTGTGTTCATCTCTCCAGGCTTCTGCCAGGCTTCCATTCCTGCTCCTCTGACAGCTGCATTTGATGCACTTAACTCTGTTTGGTGCGTGGGTTGTCTTTGTGGGCATTTCCCCGTTAAAAAAGAAAGGGGAAAAGGAAAGAGTTTGTGAAAATAGTTTGCAAAGAAACCCGTGCAAACAGCGTTTACAGAAAGGTGCGGGCATTTTGCGCGGGTGCGTGTTCACACCTGGGTGGAGGTGGAGCTCTGGGGGTGGTGGTGCTCAAGGGAAGGTGGTGAGGGAGAGCTCCCATGTTGGAGTCTGAGTTTGGCTCATTCCCTGTGGCTGGGTGAGCACTCAGACCCCTGGGCTTCACCCCATGGGATGCTTTTTCTGTGCCCCCCTTCCCCACCAGCACCCCGTTATCTCAGGGAGGGGCAGCTCATGGAAATGCCCACGCTCCCGGGAGCCCTGAGCCTCGGGGTGCCCCTTCCCCTCCTTCCCATCCTTGGGTCACTTATTTATTTATCTATTTATTTATTTAAGTTATTTATTGCTATTTATTGACAACTGGAAGTCGTTTGGGGGGTTGGGGTGGGGTGGTAATTTCTGCTGCACAGTGGGGGCAGCTGGGTCTCCCCCACACCCAGCCTCCTGCATTTTGGGGTGCTGCTGGGAGCACCTCTGGGGAGGGATGCTCGTGGGTCCCCACGCTCCCATCCCCTTTTTGTGAGGGAGAGAAAGGAAGGGGAGCCACACCGGTGCCTGCAGGGAGGGCAGCCGGTGCTCGCCCCATCCCTCCCTGCAGAAGCTGGGAGCCCCCTTGGTGCTCCCTCCCGTGCCCATCCCTGTTTACTGACCCGGCCTCCTGGTGCTCCTCCCGCTGGATTTGCTGTCTCCAGCTCCCGGAGAGGGCGGGAGGAGCCAGGATGGATGAATGTCACTACGGAGAACAGACCAAACCAGGTATTCTGCTGCCACGTGGGGAAAATCAGAGAGAGAGGAAAGCTGGTTTTGCAGAGTGCCTTAAACACAAATGACTTTACTGAGTAGGGGGCTTGGACTTCTGTCTCTGGATGTTATTACCAACTGGAAAAATGTTGCATTTCACTTCTCTGGGATTAAAAGAAAACTACTCGACCTGTACCGGAGCCAAACCTTGTGTTTGCTTGAGTCTCTCTGGTTTGTACCTCTGGGGCCATGGCAGCACTTGGAACAGATGGGAATTCATGGAATTTCATTCAGCCCCTGCCTGCCTCAGCAATGGCACCAGTGGCTGTCCCTGCTGGCTTTCAGCCCTTGGGTCTGGTGACAGGATTTGTTCCACTTTGTCCCGACTTGCAGGTGGCTTCTGCGGTGGCCCAGAGAGGTTGTGCTGGCCCTGCAGTTCCCTTCCCTGGGGGATCCTCTGAGCAGGCTCTTTGCACAAAGGTTGCCATGGGGCTGTGTCCTCAAGCTTCCAGAAAACTGGAAAGCTTGGAGTGGGCAGATGTTCCTTTTTCCCTTAGGAAACCAGATCAAAGTGAGTGAACAGCAAGAAACCCAGGAGTTTATGCAGCCCAGCCACGGGAACTAGGAAAGCTACACAGAAAAAAAGATGTTTCCCTTTGAAAATTGTAGAGTCCCCCTGCCCTTTCTTGCAGAGTGCAAGAGTGAGAACAAAAGTCAGCCCAGAGACCAACTGTTCCTGTCTTCCAGTCAAAATAATACATGGGAAGAATACGGAGTTTCATAACAAAGGTTCATTTAAAAGCCATTTGGGGAAATACACCAATATTCACTGCACAGTGAATATTGTTGTATTATAGTTCCTGAAGGCAATTAAAAATTAATAAGCCCCCTTTTTATGAGGGGGAGGGGTAATGAAAGAGGGTTGTGGGTGCTGCCTGAGGTTTAGTGTGGAGGGGGGGATCTCACTGAATCTGGTGCATTGCTCACCTTGAACATCAAACCTGCCACTTGCTGGGTGGGTACATTTGTGCCCCAAGACGATTTATTTAACAGCTGCTCCTTTTGAGCGTTGCTGGCTGTGCTGGGCATTGAGGGATGCTGGCAGCCACCCTCTGAGCTATTCATGAGCTTTCTTCCCTACTGTTATATTAAAACATTGCTCATCTCTTGACAAATCCCTGCGATGGAGCTGTGGGAGAGCAGGCAGGAGTTTGCAGGGCTCCTGTCCTGCCTGCTCATGCCCTAGGAGCAGGGAAGGAGCCGGGACCCAGCAGCCAAGGGCAGGCCAGGCTGAGGCACATTCTTCCTTCCCAGCAGGGGAAGCACAAGTGCTTTGTCTGAGACTGTGTGCCCTGGGACAACCTGTCTTTCCAAAATGCCTTCCTTGCAGAGCAAGAACAAGGGCAGCCTGTGCTGCTGCCACCCCCTCCAGAGCCTGGGCACAAATCCCAGCTGCGTGGCCACAGGAACACAGAAAATGCTGCAGGGTGCCCTGGGGGCCAGCAGAGACAGACAAGGGACACTGCAGGTAGTACTGAAGGTCAGTTTATTTGCTCGATTCCCTCTTCCACAAAACCTGAAAACAATCACCTTCCAGCAAGAGATGAGAAAGCAGTTAAGAAGTGAGAGATTTGGCTCTGCAGCTCCTCCCCTACTCATGGGACCAAAGGTTAGATGGCTGCTCTGAGAGGCACACAGCAGCTTGGAGCTCCCAAAGCTCCCTGTCCCAGCAGGACACCCCTTCTCAGCACAGCCCTGGGAGAAGCTTGGCTGGGACCACACGGGACAGACACCAGAGCAGCAGCCCCAGAGTCCCCACTGCTCTGCTCATCTCGTCCTTGCCGGGCAGGAAAGCAGCCGGGGTTAGCTCTGGGGGTGGAAGGGACAGGAGGGCTGGTTTAGTACCGCACCAGCAGCGTGACGGTGCCAGGCTGTGTCAGAGGGGCAGGAGCCGGGCTCAGGAAGGCTCTGGCATCCCAGCAGGACGGACAGACGGACAGACAGCCCTCACTCTGGCTGCGGGGTGTAGCGCAGGTACTTCTTGCCCGACGGGAGCTCCTTGGTGAAGACTCCTTTGGGGAAGAGCTTCTTGGCTTCCTCGTCAGGTAAGGTGGGCACCACCATGACGCTGTCACCGGGCTGGGGACAAATGGGGACAAGTGGGGACGGTGAGGAGCTGGCAGGGACAGACACAGGTGGCACTGCCCTTGTCCCCAGGCACGTCCCCAGGTGCCAGCAGTGAGGGCACGGGGGGAGCTACACCAGGAGACACGGGAGGTGTCCAGAGGGAGAGCTGTGCCATCTGCCAGCCCTGCCAATGGCATCCCACAGCCATGGCACTCCTGTGGGAACAGCAAGGAGCTCCACTATTATAGCCTATATATAAATAAAATATTATTAATATATAATTATATATAATATATAATATATATAATTATAATTATAAAAATATAATAATATATCAGATATTAAAAATATACCAATACTATTAAATATAATAAATATATATTTCATATATTAATAATGTAATATATTGATATTATATTATAGCTTATGTTCCTGATTATGCCTATGCTCCACTATTCTAGCCTATATATAAATAAAATATTACTAACATCATATATAATTATAAAAATATAATAATATATCAGAGATTATAAATATACCAATATTATTAAATATAATTATAATAAATATATATTTCATATATTAATAATGTAATATATTGATATCATATTATAGCTTATGTTCCTGATTATGCTGACGCTCCACTATTATAGGCTATATATAAATAAAATATTAATAACATAATATATAATAAATATATTTTATATATTATAATATATAAATAATATTATATATAATTAAAATAAATAAATATTATATATTAAAACATAATATATTAATATTCTATTATAGATTATATATTTTTAAATTAATTAATATTTTATATATAAAATAGAAATATAAAATAGAAATATGATTTTATATTTATATAATATTATATTATAGCTTATGCTCCTGATTGTGCTTATGCTCTACTATTATAGCCTATACATTAATAAAATATTAATATCACATATAATAAATATAAAAATATATTAAATAGTACATAATATACCTAATATATAATTATAATAAACCTAATATTATATTCTATATATTAATAATATATTGATATCATGCTATAGCTTATATAATTAATATAATATTATAGCTTATGCTCCTGATTATGCTTATGCTCCACTATTATAGCCTATATATTAATAAAATATTAATAATATAAAATCATAATAAATATTATATTGCATTTATATATTAACATATTAATTATATATAATAATAAATACATATTATATATTAACAGAATATATTATAATTAATAGTCTATTATCACTTATATAATTCATATATTTATATTTTATATATAATATATAAATATAATTTTATATTTAGATAATATTATAATTTATATTATATTATAGCTTATGCTCCTGATTGTGCTTATGCTCCACTATTCACTGGAGCTTATGCTGCAGGAAACAGGAACCTTCAGAGGCTCCAGCTGCTGCTTCCCCCACCCTCCAAGGGAGCCTGGCTGCCATTTCAATGCCTGTTTCCAGTGCCTGGCTGTGAGCTTTACCCTGCTCCTCACCTTCCAGTCCACAGGGGTAGCGACCTTCTTGTAAGCTGTGAGCTGCAGGGAGTCCACCACTCTCAGGATCTCATCAAAGTTTCTCCCAGTGGTGGCTGGGTACAGGATAGAGAGCTTCAGCTTCTTATCCGGGCCGAAAACGAACACCTGAGCACAGGGAGAGACAGTGTCAGGGGCTGGGCACGTTTGTCTGACTCCTCTGCTCAGCCCTGATGCTCCTTCCTTTCCTGGGAGCTGCCTGATCACAGCTTTTGGGACAGGGGAGATGCCATGGAGGGGATCTAGAGAACAACTGATGCCCAGGGAATGTGGTTTTGCCCTGGGAGCTCCTGTGTTCAACTCCAGCTTGTTTTGCTACCTGTGCCTTTCTAGTGCAAGCACATGAGGAGAGAGGGAAAGTCCAGCAAACCAAGCACTGACAAAAATTACTTTGAGAGAGGCACAACCAGGATCAGTGAGTTGCCATGGCACTGATGCCCCGAGAGGCTGCCTAGAACAGAGGCTTTAAAGGAATAAAGCAGGTATTTATTAAAAAGCCTTTTAAAGAATACACCTTGAGCAGTACAAGAGCCTGGCTAAGGCTACACCCAAGATGAACTCTGAGTCACGAGTTTTCACACTTTTATAAGTTTTGGTCCATTTACATATTGGGTAAATTACTAAATTACAGCTCCAGGTGATGCAGTCCCATCCTCCCAGATGGCTCTCCTCAATTTGCTGTTATTGGTGCTTTTTGGGGCTGAAGCTATAATGATGTCCTTGGTTGTGGGGCTGGAAAAGGATTGTTGTGTCTGCCTGAGCTGATACAACACTGAGCTGACACAAGTGAGAACTGGCTGACACTTCATATGAAGTTCAGAGTTACCAATGCACTACAGAACCTGGGAAATATGAAAGCCAGAACTTCGGGCACCAACACAACCCATGGCTGCAGGCCAAGGAAGTCATGCCAGCTCCTGAGGACAGCCATGCCCATGCAGGTACACCACCCCAGAGCGCAGGGCAGGATGGCAGGCCGTGGTTCTGCACTGGTGCTGTGGGACAGGCACTCACCACACGGGCGGTCAGGGGCATCCCGTCCTTGTCCAGCTCGTCGGGGTCCAGCATGCCCAGCTTGACGGCCAGCTCCCGGTTCTTGTCAGCAATGATGGGGAAGGGCAGCTTCTCTGCAGGCTGTTCCCCGTTGTAGGCGTTGATGTCCTGCAGAGACAAAGCTGTGGGATGTTCCTGTGGCACCACCACAGACAGAGGCCAGGCAGGAACAGGAGCTGCATCCAGGAGCTCCCACCTTGCTTGGCTGGAGGTCTCAGGCTGGGACAGCACAGCTGGGTGCTCATGGACTTCCATGAAGTTTCCAGAAACCTTTCCACAAACCTTTGTGCCAGGCTGGGCTGTGCCTTGTTCTTGGAGGTCAGTTCTTAGGCTGTCTGTGCTCAGAGCCCGTGGAACAGCTGCTTTGCCCAGGCAGTGGGCACAGAGCAGCAGGGAATTCCTGCCTGTGTCAGTGACAGAGAGGTTTAACCACCTTTCACTGAGAGCTGTGTCCCTCTTCCAGCTCTCTCTGAGCACGGGATCTAGCACTGCTGACAGATGTGTTGGAGTCACAGCTGAACTGCTCTGTGCTCCTAAGGAATCCTTTCTCTAGTGGCAGAGCAAACCAGCAGCCCTGCAGCTCACAAAGAAAGGTCCCAGGTCTTGTGGAAAGGGACCAATTCTACAGTCACTCGCAGCTTACTTAATTAAAGGCTCTCAAAAAACTAGAGTGGAAGCCTGAGTGCAGGTGCTGGACACTTCTCACTCCTTTCTGAGCCATGCCTGGCACAGAAGAGAAAACCATCTCCCTCCACAGCCCTGCAGGCTCTCCCTTGTGAACATGGTTTATGAGGCTCCTCCCTGTACTAGTCCAAACTGGACCTGCTTCACAAATACAAAAAAAAAAAAAAAGTATTTTGAGCATCTCCAAACCTGGCCTGGACTCGACCAGAGCATTTAAGTTACCCCTGGGCTCTGCAGTACCACTCTCAGAGGTCACACTGAGCCCCAGCAGCACTGGGAGGAGCCTGCTCAGAGGAGGCAGCACAGGCAGAGCAGCTGCCAGCACCAGAGCAAGTAGAATTCCTGCCCCAGAACAGGGCAGCCTGTTCCTTCCACCCTTTTCAGGCTACAAGGAGACAAAACTGACTGCAATGCTGCTGTGAGCCTGCCTTGTGCTGTGCTGCATTATCAGCTCAGCCGATAACCTCAGTGCACACATCTCTGCCTTCTGGGGGGGAGCAGGCTGGGCCCTGCTCAGAGGGAACTCAGAGAGGGCAGGGTTGGAAATGCTGCCCCTTGGCTCTGCTCAGAGCACTCTAACACCAACAGAGCCCCCCGTGGCTGCTGGTGCTGACAAAAGGGGCTGTAGCCCTGCCCCAGCTGCTCAGGATGTTGCAAACAGGTCAAGTGGTGCACACGTGGCCAAACGTTTCCTTTCCAGCTCCTCTCTTTGCTTGTTTTCTCCCCAGGCCTTTCTGTGTCACCACAGCTCTGCAAAGAGCAGCCACTGATCTCGGCTGGGTTGTGGTCAGGCTGGCCTTGGAAGGAAGCAAAGAATTGCTTCTGCTGTCCTGCAAACCTGCCTTGTCAGAGCAGAGCAGGGAAGGAAAGCAGAGCTGGAGAGTTCAGCTGAGGAGAAATGCTGCTGAATGCTCCACAGAGTCAAAGGAGGCCACAGATGGACATCAGCAAATGAGACCCACCCAGCCCTCTCTTTAGAGCAGGGGCTGGAGGATGAAGAGAGTTTCTGAGAAGCAGTATCTGAAGCCTATGATTCAGATCCTGAATCCTACGAGGCTGTAACTCGTTCCAAAATGCACGTAATTTCATGACATGGGGAGCTCTAGAGAACAGCCTCACAAACCACACTGTGTTGCAATAAAACACCTTCCCTAGTCACTCATTTTCTTTCCACAGTCCAAGCTGAAACCAGACATCACCAGAGTGATTTATTCACCACCAACTCCCCGAGGTGCAGCTATCAGTGGCCATGGAGAGCACAGAAACCTCTGGCATGCACAGCATGTGCCAGCCAGAGCTGCTCCAGGAGCTCAGCCATTCATCCAGCCCTTGGAGAAGCAGCAACCTCCTGACTGGGGAGCTTGGGATCAACCCCTGGCTGAGCTACACTTCCCATTCCTGGAGCAAGGCTCTGTTTTTTGGCTAGGGATGGCTAAGAATAGCTGTGACATCTCTGGCTGGAAAGCTCAGCTGCACAAAGGGACACGAGGATTATTGGCTGCACTCCAGCCCCACCTTTCCAGGCCCTGTCTGCCCACTGAAATTTGGCAGCAAAGCAAGCAGAAGTTCCTTCCTTGTTCCATGCAGGATTTCAGCCAGCCCTCTTGCCCTCTTGTTTCCTTGCAAGCTGTGCTCCAGGTAAAATCAGCTTAGTGAAAAAGCAGAGGTGTGTTTGGGAACGCTGCACAGAGGGTTCTGCCCTAAGTTTTGCTCACTCCTAGGATTCTGAGTTTAGTCCAGTGAAACACAGGCTGGTGGAACACTCCAGCCTTCTGTGGATTTGTCCTCACCAATTGGATCTTTTGCTCTGGAGGACTTTCACCTGTTTCTTTCTGACAGGTGCTGAGCTGGACACTTGCAAACCTCTGTCTCCAAGGTTTCTCCTAGCCTCACAGAGAGCTCACCACAGCTTGAATCACTGCCCTCTCCGTGGTTTTTCTGGAAGGCTTTCCTGCTCTGCCTCCCCTCAGCCAGCATCCAGAGGCTGTTCTGCAACTTCTCCCGGTTTCACCTGAGCTAGTGCTGAATAATTCCACAGGCTCAGCAGAGTCAGCTCGTTGTTCATGGCTTTTTCAGATCCCCTGAGTCTGCTGAGCCCCAGCCATCCCTGCAGGCCCCGAGAGAGCTCAGCTCTTCCCTTCCTTGACACAAGTTACTGCTTTCCTGCAAGAAACAGCCTGCCCTTCAATGCTGACCTCATTGGAAACTTGCTGCAAATTCAAAGCCTTTGCAGCAGTCAGCAACACCCTCACACTTCAGCTTTAGCCAACCAGCAGGTGAGTCTCCTTACAAAAGCACAAAGCAAACTTTCTGTTATGTCTAATGACATGTTATTTGCTAATTTGACTGCTGGTTTCAGCCAGTTTGAGCAGCACAGAAACCTCATTTACTGGGATTTGTACATTGCTTTTCCCAGGCCCTTCTGAGGACATTGGCCATGCACCACGCAGGTACAAAGGTTGATTTAAGCAATAAGGCAATTAGTTAATTTCTAAAGCCACTCAGTCACGAATTAACGTCCGAGTGTAGAAATTTCTCACTTTTCATGCCTCTTTATTGCATGTACCTCTCATCCCTGGAAAATACATGAGAACATTCCCAATTTTAAGAGCTAAGAGAGTGGTAGGTAATTCACCTAAGGATTTTTACTCTCTGGCCATTTCTGTCTGAAATACTCATTTTAGTATTACTCATTTTTGACCCCTACCACCTCAAGCCCTGGAACCATTCTCCCTGGCAGCACACACAGGCTGCTGCCTTTGAAGTATTTCTTTAGCTTCTTGCATGTTCCTTCATCGAGTTATTCCACTCCCATCTTTTTTTTTAACACTCCCTCACATTCATTTTACATTTAAAGTTCTCCTATCTCTGGTTTTATATTTAATGTATGTCTTATATTTAACATATCAATATTTATTAAATCATTAAATAAATCTTAATTATTCTATTAACACTTATAAATAAATTTATAATTATATAATATA